TGGCCACAACCTTAGTTGTTTTATCATTTTTCCTGAAGAAAGGGAATTAACAGAAGATTAATAATTTATTCAATGATTAATACTTTCTTATGGGTTATATGTACTATGCAGCCCTAAAGAATTAAACTACTCCCCAGCCCCTAAATAGATTCTTGGCTGTTGATACCTACATTTCTTTAAAGGCGTATATTGGATAGATGTCCATATGTATAAAATGCCATGAATGCAAGGTCCTTGATGTCTAGGTTTCTCACTAGTATTGGCTCATCTGTCACCATCCTCAATACTCAAACTGGTCTGTGCAACAAACCAGTTCAAGAAGTATTTGTAAATACTCTGAAATTTTTTTAAATCCATTAAAAATCATTAATAATGACAACTTGGAATTTGAGAACCATGCTTTTCTCCATTAATTCAATTATTTTGTACACTATGCTATAATCATCACCCAAGTCAACTGACCTCCCTTTATTCCTACCAGACAGTGGTGTAGCTTTCAACCCTCCTTCCTTTTAGTCTTTCTTCACAGGCAGAAGCCCCGAGAGTAGAAGTGTGACCTGCCATTTAACCACTGATATGCAGGTTGCACTTGGTCTTAGATTGGGACCATCAATAACTTTTTGTGACATTACCTCTTTGAAAAAACATGACCCAAAAAAGACTATGAAAAAACCTGCATCTCTGGACAGCATCCTCCTGGGACCTGGGACCTATTCCCCCAGTGCCTCCTTTGGCATGAAGAGTTAGGAAGCAAATCATCATTGTTAAAGAAAACTTGTCTCAAATTCCTATCCCAATCTAAAGTCTAATGTAAAATACATAATATTAAAATAATCTAATATATAAATCATTGTTTCCCACTTTTTCAACTCACTTGTGCAGTTGCTTTTAATACAATAGCAAAGATAAACAAGATTGTATACAGTGGTGGGTCTGCACCAGTTACTCAATAAACAGTTTTCAAGGACCTGATCTCAGAGGACACAGTCAAGATATATGAGGCTATGTCAGAAAGTTCATGGAAAAATGGAATTAAAAGATAATATGAATCCTTCCATGAACTTTTTGAAGACCCTGCATGTGTGTGCATGCACACATGTGCACATGTTTATAAGTATTTACTGACAGTTTAATTTTGTGCTTGGCTTGAAATCGAATTGTGGAGATGGGCCAGACATTCGTTGCTGAAGATGCTTACAATCTCTTTGTAAAATATAATTAATGCATCCCAAATCCCAACAAACAATGTAGAAAAATATAATTATATGTCAAAGTACATGGTATACACTAGTATTATAGGAGTTCTGCCTAAAATCTGGTGGTCAAATTTTTATTTGCTAAAAAAGTGTTATGCAATAAATGAGAAGGCATTTATTAAATTCACTTTGACAATTGTGAAAATTAATTTTAAATACTTTAGGTCAATAACTAACTTAAAATAACTTAAAAGTAAGCTACTAAAGGTTGCTCATATAAGGACAACTAGAATATTGGCTGTGCTCTCTAGAATATTTGGATGAAACATTGACTATTGTATTTAGATCTGACCCTTGTAAACAAAAGACAAATGTAAAAATAGATTTGCAGTCATCTAATAAGAAAACATAATCAAGCACCCAGAAATCATGAAGTGGCAATTACTATCCAAAATGCAGAGCATAAGAATTCCCATACATCAGTTCACTGCCTGGGTGTCAGGTGCTATCTAAATGAAAAACTGAGCAAGGGAGGGAAAAATGTCAGTGTTAATCCAGTCAAATTAGGCCACACTCTTAGCTGACATTACATTTGCACTTTAAAATTTGGGTTTGACCCAGACACCCAAAAATTTACACTTGGCCCAGTGATACTAACAGCATTTATAATATTACTTGACAAAAAACACATTTCTTGCATTACCTTTTGGTATGATTTAGTTTTCACAAATATATGCCCCTTCCCCTGCCTCAAGAGGAAAGGATTATTTCTTTTTTATATACAACAGAATCTAGACTTCTTTTCTCATTCAAAATAGTAATATCTAGTTGTTTGATTAATTGATTTGAATCTATACACAACAGAATCAATCAATTATTTTTTAAAAATTGAGTGTCCTAAGGCAGGGAGCACTCATACGGCCTAGTTTTATGTAGTAAGTAGATTGAGTATGAAATAGCTTAATGGTAGAGGTATTCCTTTTCCAATTTTCTTTCCTTTTTACTGATTATATCAAGGATTAAGTTTCAGTATGGTGCAAGTATGACCTCACTATTTCTCAAATACAGCTAACGTTCTTTCATAACAAAGACAACAGACCTCAGAGTAAGAGGACAACAATATTTACTCAGAATTTAATGTTGTCTTTCTTAGATTTGTATTTATTTTTACAACTGCCATCTATTTATGACAAGTGATACTATACTGATTTCCTGTTGATAGAAATAATATAAACTTCCTCTGTAAATAAGCTTAAATTGAGAAAGTGAGCCAAGTTAAATAAAAATATTAGGAATATAGTCATACTTAATAGTACTCAGATATGGCCAAATTTGTGCAATGGTAATTCACAACTGACTAAAGTTGGAGAAATAGAGCTAGAATAATTCACTTGTTAGAATTGTTTATTATTTGTTCATTGATTCCATGTTAATTACTGTTAATATTTTCATCCATGCAGTATAGGAATTCCTAAATTTTCATTTCTGTTGGCAGGGAATTACAATCTATTATTTAACCCAAAGAATATATATAAAATAAATTATTGGTTCAATTTAGTTAGTATTAAAAAATAGAACAAGGGGACTTATAATGGCCTTATCTTGAAAGAGTTTCATGGTTACTTGTTCTACAGGCATTTGGAAGTGCCATTAAATACAGCTGTATCATCACAATGTGAACCCAGAAGTCCATATTTTAGGAGTACCATATAGGAAAGGTCATATTGCAGTACAGCTACTCAGCACTCTAATTTGATAGCTCGCACCCTTTGTTCTGTCATAACATGTGGAAAATAATGTTCATATACTAAATATATTCCTGGGGGCATGTCCAGATTTTAACAAAATTCTCCCCTTCCTGCCAGTCTCCCCACCCCCCAACATTTAGGCAACACAGGGCTGCAGATGTTGGTTGCATCATTCCAACATATTACTTTCCATCCAATAAAGGTAAATTAAATGTTAAGTAAATGAAAATACACTAATATAATTTACTTATTTTTTTTAGGTAAATCACTCACACATTTTAGTGTTTTATCTATTCTTAGTGAGAAATAAGTTACAACTCATAACTGACTGTACCAATATGTCTCATAGCACCTTAGTCCAAACTCACTTCCTTACTGTTGGAGTGCTGTGTCAATGTCACCTCTTTATACTCTTAGTTAGGATAGAGGTACTGAGGTAATGACTAGAATAGAGCATGATTTGATCAGTTGACCTAAGTAAATGAGGCTGGTACCAGTTGTTTGAAATCGGATAAAGACCAATAGTCCAAATTTACCTGCAACACTTCAAAAAGTATGACTTTTATAATAAGCAAAAAAAACAATTTTGTATTAAGATGGAGAATAATAAAGATTTAACATTTTGATTGAAAAGCAGAATACCTAATAGGTGGTAACCCAAATTTTCCCATGTGCGTTAATGTTTTCTATAATAGTAAAAACTAATCACTTCTTTTATGGGCAAATTCAGCATTCACTGACAACACTTAAAATGCTTTAGTGTATTCTCATTCAAATTTTTAAAATAGATAAATCAATAAATTTTTAAAAATTAGATGGTATTAAAAACTATAGGAATAAAGAACATTGTATATGCAACTTTGCTATAATGTAAATAGATTGTTTAAAGGTCCAGAAGTCTGATCAATATCACTGACATAAAATCAAATCTTACACTGAACTAACTCAACATGCTCTTTAGGAAAAAGAATCCCTGTTATAAATTACAGCAGAACTGTGAATTGCTTTCATATATATGTGTATTCACTCTTGCTGTTACAAAATCAATCAACAACAACCATTTTAACTTCATGACTATGTTATGAACTCACCTTTGCCAAAATTACAGGAAAAGATCAGGGTCAACATGATAGTTTTGGGCATCTTAACAATAAAACCATCTTGTTTTGCATCTTTGCTGATAGTCCCAAACTGTCAATAATTCTCCCAAAGCAAATTTAATAAACGTGGAGACATGGGCTAATAGTAGAGCAAATCAATTTATATTGCTTAAGTTCACTATACATGTCGACTCCACAGAAGAATGTGAATTTAGGAAGCTAAAGTGAAAATAGCATTAAACAATAATCCCAATTTAACCATAATAGTAAAATAGAACTTGATGCTCGAGTCATACACTCACACATACGTTAAAAGAACAACAAATTAAACTATTTTTCTGAATTGTCCAGATTTAGCTAATAATTTTACTGTTACTGTTGGACTTTGGTCCTCTTTAACAGAAATGAAAAACAGATTAATTAACACATTCTTTTCTTCCCAAACTATTATTATAATCCTTTATGTTTAAAGGATTCATAAATTTTAAGAATTGTTTAGAGAAATAATGTAATATAATGTCATTTTAATTAAATACAAATAAAAATAACTAAAAAAGATTTATTTGTGTCAGAGTAAAGAGAGAAAAAAATATGATTCACTGTCTTGTATCACATAGGTGTGAAGTTTATAGAAACACCTATGTAAAACACCATCACTATTTTGTCAGTTGGTACACCCTTTAAGCACCGAAAGTTCAACTGTTTAACATTCCCACTAAGGCAGAAATGCAAATTTGGGAAGAACAGCCTATAATATTTCAATGAATAAGTGAACACAGAAAACACTTTGATATCATCAAATTGCCAAACAAATCGTGGTAGACAAATGAAACAGAATTCTCCTGCTATTTGTGTTAAAAGTACCTCCCAAACATTATTTAGACATTTTAGGCCCAACAACAACTCTGTGTGTGCCCATTGTGTGCTTAACATCAAAGTGACCCAATAAGTACTACCATGATCTTTGAGATTGCGAAGAATCACAGCAGGAAGGCTATGGGACTGCCACCCTGTCACTAACTCGGCCTCTAGTTCCTTAACGTGGGCCCTGAGCATGAGGGGTGGCACTTTCAGAAGCAGGTCAAGAGGCAGCAAAGCTGAAGAAATAAAAAGGGGAAAGATATGAAACTGTAACATAAATCACATTGAGTTTCAGGGAGATATGTCTGATTTTATTACTGCCAGCACTAAGTTACCTGGTCTTGGTCTTGATCCTATTCCACCAGTGAAGTCCCTGAAAACAGAATTAGAGGTCATTAGGATGATTTATTCAACTTGGATTTGACAACATTTACTGAGAGCCTATGCTCTGCTACAGTCTACATTAGAAACATAAATAAAGGTTACTTTCCCTCAAGACACTCTCAAGAGTTTAATAAAGAGAAAAATAAATATATTTCAACACAGAGTAGAATTGACATTCTACTGGCAAATGGAAGAAACTTATTCCACCACAGTTGCTTATAAGCTCTAAGCATGATTAAGAGCCTAAATCTGAGTGTAATAAATGATTTCCTTATTACACTTAAAATCAAAATACTGATTTTGTATTAAAAAGAAATAACATTAAAAATTTTATATATGGCATTTCCCATGATTTGTTTTTGCTGTCTTAAAAAAAATAAGAATAAAAATGCCCCCATAGCTCTTCCTATGAAATGAGATGATTTTTGCATTTAAAAAGATTATTTTTCCTAGAGCTTCCAATATTATTAACTTCTCTTATTTGTCTTGCCCAAATTCTAGATTGCCTGATCATTTTGAAAGTTGGTCTCAGAAACTACTACCCTCTGGAGGTAGACTTAGACCCCACCAGGGATATCTAAAAATAACCTTCAGCCTTATTTTTCTCACTGTAACCTAGAGCCAATTTCATAATAGTTTTCTGGAATCAAATGAGAAACATCTATGTTCTGAGGAGTTATGAGAACTATACTTCAACTTAATGCAATCCAACAAAAATACATGGAACATCTGCAATGTACAGGCACATGACAGGTACTTGCTCAGTAGGAGTGAATATAGGAATTCAAATGCAAGTAAACCTGGCTTGCCTCAACCCTTTCATTTTAATCTCAGAATTTTTTTGATACATACATGCAACAGATGCCTAAGTCATTAAGCATAAAAAAATTGACACTCATTTACCTACCACCCAACTTAGGTACTAGAATAATACCAAAATCTTTGCATCCACCTATGAGTCCTTGCCCTATGCTTTCCATCCCCCCTTGACCCTCACCAAGCAAGCCAGACATCTCTTGATCCCAGTATTTTTTCTATCCCATTCTCACCCCAAGTTTCCAGAGTTTTGAAAAGTAAATGAAACTTTCCAGCTTCAGACAGTTTATAAGCTCTCCCTATCCCTGGTATAAGGGGGATGTTTAAAGAAAGAAAAGCAATGGACCCACCCTCAGAGAGTTCAAAAAGAGGCATGATCCCAGCAGTGCCCATGTGTGGGTGGGACAGGCTCAGGGCTGAGCTGAAGAGCAGAGCATCTGTTCTAACACCTCATATCCTTGCACACACACCATACCCCAGCAGATGCCTTCTGAACAACTTTGTCCCTTAGCCTTCTAGATGAGTCCAGTGCTGCCCAATAGAAATATAATGCAAGCTAACATAATTTTTAATTTTCTGGTAGCCACATCAAAAAAAAAGCAAAAAGTAAAACTAATCTTAATATTTTATTCAATTAACTACATCCAAAATACCATCATTTCAACATATATGGAATATTTTACATTGTTTCATATTTAAATTCATATTAAATTAAATTAAAAATCCAGTTCCTCAGCTGCCCTAGCCACATATCAATTGCTCAAGAGGCACCTGCACCTGGTGGCCTTCATATTTAACAGTGCCTTCCAGAACCTTCTGTAGAAGGTGTTGGTCATTGTCTTCATACACACAACAATACAGTCATGCCACATAGCTGCTAAACCTGCAATACCTCACAGACCCCACTATTTTAAAAGGTGAGTGAAAATACAATCTTTATTGTGGAAAACTTTTACCCATAGATTTGGGTGTGCTCTTGAAAAGCTGATAACACTCACATGCTGAGTTAGCTAGATGACTATTTCAGATGTCCTGAAGAATCCAACATTTCGAACATTTTTATGTATTAAAAAGTGTTATGTATAGTGTATGCTAGTGGCATATGTGAAATAAACCACCTTGACAACGGTGAGTTGCTGCTCTTTGATATAATTCTAAATTCTTTAATAAACTTTAGGGAATTTTTTAAAAGAACCATTGCATATTCATTCATTCATATGCTTAACAAATATTTATAAAGTGCCCACTATGTGTAGGCACTGTGCTGGACACTGGAGATGGAATGGTAAAAAGACAGTCTTCACAGTCTTGGACCTTACAAGATTGCATAGGTAGAGCAGAAAAGAAATGTCAGTTTCTCTGGATATTATATCACTAACCACAAGAAAATATAGTCATCTGAAATTTCAAAATAAAACAGATTCATTGTGATCAGAAGTGACAGCTTTTAACTACGCAATTGTTGGGTCCACAGATGGACAAATGACGAAATCATGCAGAGCCTAGGGAAGTCTACCTCTAGATTGAATCACATTGAATGCTCATGTCCAGTGACTACAGAAGGTGGTCTTCCCATGATAGCTTAAGCTAGAAAATGGTTTAACACAAAGAGAATGTTCCAGAAGTATTTTCTGGTAAAAAGGCTTAACATAATGAAGTTTGTATTCTCTAAATGTTTTGAAATGGTCATTGACCAGTAGCACTTCAAGCTGATAAAAGAATTTCAGAGAAATGGAAGGTTGAAAGAATTCTAAAAGGTCATCACTTCCAGCTCCCCTCAGATCTCGTGTGACCTCATCCAGATAAGTCAAAAGAAAAACTGAAGTGCTAAAAAGGAGCGTTAGCCTACAACTTCCACCCCAAACCACTAACAGGTAAGGTAACAATGCAAGTATTAGCTTTGTGATTTTTTTAATAGAATTTTTACTGAATTAATTAAATCACAGCATGAATTATTTGGACAATTATTTTGTCAGAAGAGTCCTGGCCATAAAGGAGATAAAGCTCTAGAATTTTATCTCTCACTGGAATTCTTTTTACATATCTCTGAATGAAGGAAATATTTTACAGGCATTATAAGGGCATCACATAATTTAATTCAATTGCTTAAAGTGGACAATACTAAACTGATGTTGACCAAAAAATATATATATATATATTTAACATTATAAAACAAGAGGCTTAGCTTATAATGTTAAGATAATGCTTTCTGAGACTACCGTGACCACACCATATGAGCTAAGTGGCATTTTACAGCTGAAAGTCTCATGCAGCAAGACTCATAAACATGTCCTATGTGAATAAGCAACATTACATGGGGTAGAGTTCTCATATTTAGTAAGGACTGTCATCTATTCATAATGTTAATGGAGTTGGTATCATAACAAGAAAATGGTATAAAGCTTCTGTGGTTTGCCACTTGTACTCCAAATAATAGCTAGAAACAAGTGAGCAATAAGCCAGGAAAGTTTAGAACTGTCACAGAAGAGGAATAAAGTTCTTATAATGTATTTTTTTTTGTAAGACTGCTGGATTGTGACACTGGCAGATATGCCAGATTGATTCTGGCAAGTAGAGATCAAGCAGTTCAGGCATTTATTCAATCAAAGTAAAACTAGACACAGATTATGAAAAAGAAGTAGGGGAAGAATAGCCACAGATGAAAATTAGCAAAACTTCTGCTAAAAGAAGGCAAGATCCCAGGTCCTAAAATTACACAAGGCTCTTTCCAGTCACATCTGTGACCCTGTATGGTCACAAACACCCACAATCATCTTTATATACAAAGACTAAAGTCAGGAGCACACTCTAAAATACAATTATGCATACACTGATTTCTCAAAGCAATTGTGAACCACAGGCATCTCTGACAGTGCGAACATCCGATGCTCAAACCAGCCTGCCACTATATCCTGTTGCCTTGGCAACAGGATGCAAGCAGGCATGAAGAAATCTTGTTGCCTGAGCAACAGGATCTTTTTTCTTAAAAAAAAAAAAAAAAGAGCCTTAAGCTGTGGCTATGTCAAAGGCTATAGTTAAAGCCAGTAGGCAATATTTCAGTCCTTTATAGTGAGAGACAGAATTTACACAAATATAACAGTCATTCATCTCACTCATCTATTAATAAGTATTTGTGGATTGGCATCTATGTGCAATACACTGTGCTCTGAAGAATGTAAAGATGAACCAAGCATAATATGATAGTATGGCACATGTCTAGCACACAGTAATAAATATCCATCAATTGAATAAATGAATAAATATTCTTCAGGAAATCATAATACAATAGCCAAAGCTTACTAGAACCTGAGTGTAAGTGATAGTTAAAGAGGCTGAAGCCCTTGAGTGCCTTATCAAATTCTGCTATGCAAAATAATTTATTTATAAGTTGAAATAAAATTCTATGACTTCCTGGATTAGAAGAACTGTCTACGTATATATACTGGGTGAACCTATAAAACCCACATAAAACTGGTAAAAGTCAAGCCCATTAATTCTTTCCCAGCAAATAGTAATGGAGGCAGGAGATATTAGATCAAATCTAAAAGTGACTGAAAAGTTGGAAATTTTAATGAAATTGACAACTGGTCCTGTCTTGATCTTGCCATGAGTTATATTCCTGAAAAAAGTTTCATCATCTGATGATGGCTTGGCTCACCAGGGTGCCTTCCTGCTCTAATATTATGTTTCCTTTCTCCAGCCTTGAGACTTGGATACGTCTCTGAGGTGGCAGGAGCTGCCCTTCTTAGTTCCCTTTGCTCATGTTATATCCATTTGCCTGGCCCATTTGCCCAAGAAAGCCTCTCCCAAGTTATTAGGGAGGTACTTTAGTTCTTTAGCAGGCAATTGGCTTAATTGGTTAATTGGCTCTTGATATCTCGGGTGACCAAAGTCGAGAATTTATGCTTCAGCTTTTTCTCTGTACTGTTTAGCCAGGGCCAAGTCTGATTTCTAAACTCTGGAAGCTGTGCTCAGATCAGGTATGCACTTCTCTGTGACTTCTTCTCACTGGGACCAACTCCCTTTTTTAAGAGCCAGTAAGAGTCCCTACGTGGGAGAGCTGCCCAGGGTCTCAGTGTAACTGTATACCAATTCATTCATTGCACAGAATAGTTAAAAAACTCTACAGGCTTGATTTTCAATTTATTTTTTTTTATTATGTAGCCTTGCTATCTTCTTTTATATTCAAACTTCTC